AAGCTGTTGAACTAAACAATTTCATTGCTTCACTTAATTTGTTCCCATCCAAACTCTTAAAAACAGGTATATTTTTAGATGGATTAAGGAAATCATTATTTCCCAATTCTATTTGAAAGTGCTGTGATTCTTTCTCAAAATCAGGGCATGAACACAAACCATTGTTTTCTTGGTCATTATACTCAATTGTTTTAAATAATTTTTTTCGAAGCTGATGATGGCAAGGAAATTTGTAAAAACTTGTATTATTGTTATTAAAAATTATATTAAAATCAGTAAATGCTAATTACTTACCTTCAAAAACTTGGTGCAATTCCTTGCAGCAATCTCCCAATGTCTTTGAGTTGGCACAGGTGGAACAAGTGCCTTTAGTGTTTTGTTTATCTCTTCAAGTATTGCATCTAACCCTTGATGTTGATTAGACCATCCTGATTTTGAAACAGCAGAATTTTGTTCAATGAGCTGGTGAATTTCAGGATGAAGACGAAGTAATTGTTCTTCATAAGCAACTTCAATTGAACAATAAATGGGATGTCATCTTGCTGACCAAATCGGAGCAAAGGCCCTTCATGCTGCTGCTTTCAATAGTGGTAAGTTGTCTCTTATACTGGTATGATAATTGATTACAGCTTGCAAATACAAAAAATCTTCGATGATATATGGTTAATCAGGTTGTAAAATTATCATTGAGTTATTTTGCAAATATTAATTATTTACCTGTTCATATTTTAACTTATACAATTCATCTTTTTGGTTTTTAGCCCAATTGAGATATCCATCAATGCAAGGTTCAGAAACGGATACAATATAAGGCCATACCAGTTCCATTGCCATTGCATGCCAGTATATATTACAAATTGAATCCCATGCTTTGTGATGGTCTGCGCATTTTTTATAATATCCTAATTGTTTCTCATTATGAAACCCTTGACATTGTGCAAAATGTTTTAAATCAATATTCCTAAAATCAAAAAGAGTATTATTGTAAAATAAATTATAATTCAACTTAAATAGCACTTGTAACTATTACAAAACTTGCCAGTTCAATTCTACAAAAGCTTTTAACATATTCATTTCTTCATGAAATGGCCTGGGTATCAAGATAATTCCAGGATAATCATTTTTAAATTTTTGTGCATAATTGTATGGAACACCATCACAGACTACTGGAATCCACTTGCACTAACCTTTGTTGATTCCACTAATTTCTTGAATATGTTCTAATACTTTACGAACATTTTCAATTGAATTAGGATTTAATGGCAAAGGGTCTGGAACTAAAATCTCAGGCACCTTAACATCTTTTTGGGGTGGTGACTTTTGAGTTATGCTAATTGGATTTGCATAAGAATCCAAGTCCTCTTTTTGAACTTCATAGAATTTGATATTTAAAGGCTTGACAGCATTTTTCACAAAAGTTTCTTGTAAAATTTCCTCCTGTGTTACTTTTTGTGTTCCAGCAAGAGTAGGTAATTTTGCATTGCATGTAAAACAAATATGTTTTGTATTTAAAATTCCTTCCTTACCACATTTGTTGCACTTTTTTTGACTATCCATTGTCACATAATGTTTAACTAATAAGATTTGTGTCACCATTTTTTTCTGCACATGCTTCAGCTAATATAATGGCTAGATAATCATTTAATTCATAATCAAGTAGCTCTTGCATTGCTGGTATAATGTGATAAAGTTCTTTTATTTGTAATGTATCTAAAGTATGATATAACCAAGGCTCTTGAAGCATCTGTTTCTGATCAGTAGTATCAAAATTAAATGTAAGGAAACTTGTAACTGTATGAAAAGTTACAGTGTTATGGCCACGATCTAAATAGTTTTTTTGCCCTTTTTGTTCATTATCAAAGGCCAAAAATAATAAGCCTTTAGGAAGTTGCATCGGCTCACCAGCTAAATTTTCTTGCCATTTGAGAAATTTGAAAAGCTACCAGAACTCAAAAAATGTCAATATCTACTATTTTTTTGGATTTTACAATTGAATATTTAATTGCAGATGATGCTAAATTGATGGCAGAAACATATTTAAGTTTCTCACTTCATAGATAGCATTCACTGCCACAGAACACTTAAAAAGTTTTTCTCCCTCAAGTTGGTTTTCATTCTCATTACATATAACAGTTTTTATGAATTCTAAGACAACTGGATTTCATTCAGCCAGCCATTCAAAAGTTGAATAACCTAAAAGGTTATCCAAACTAAATCTTTTCTGATCGCTCATTAAATTTATAATATCATCATATATATTTTTACATTCTCTTTTAGCATTTCTCTTACAAATTCAATTCTTGTTTGTTGATCATTAAATGTATTATTCAACTTCTCTTTCAATTCTTGATTTTCAGATATTAATATTGAATTTTGTAATTTTAGTTCATTTATTCTTCGTTGATGCACTCCTATGATATTAATATATTCTATTTGTTGAGCCTCAGATTGGTTTAATTGTTCCTTTATTTTTTCCAATTCTAAAAAAAGATTTGCATGGTGTTAGTTCTGTTTTCGTGTAATTTTTGCATCTTCATCTATTCTTCATTGATATTCTTCAATAGTATTAATATATTTTATTTGTTGAGCTTCAGATTTGTTTAACTCATTCTTTATTTTTTCTAATTCTAACAAAATGGTTGTGCAATGTTGGTCCTGTTCTTGTACAATTTTTGCACCTTCACCTTCATTTTCATCTTCATCAGTAGTTATTATTTTAAATCATTTGGTTGGTCTTCTCTTGAAAAACTAGAAATAAAACCATCCTTTGCTTTAATTTTCAAGAAGAATATTAGAAGTAACAATTTGATTGTAATGTCTAACACAAATTGAATAATTATCTAAAGATGGAATTAATAAAGATAATTCATAAAAATACTTAACAAATATTTTTACACATTCAGCTGCTTTATTCCCTGATGCCAATCTCCAATATTTCTTGTCATGGTTAACATCATCACATGGTCCTAACTCATATTGCAACCAATTTCATGAAGATAATTGTGAACATTCAATAGTGCCTTTATTAGCAAGGAAATCATATGTATCTGGAAGATTTGATTCATTTATTAATGAAGGGCATGACATTGCTCAGGATATAATTAAACATTTGTAAGTTGTTTTTATCTAAAGCCATATTTTTTGTCTTTGAGATGACTAATACTAACAACATTAAATAGTTCCATTAGATTAGAGACACCTGCACACAGAGAATCAAGATCAGAAGATCTAGAGCATACATTTGGTATTGATACAACTGTATACATATTTAATAGATTATTCAGGATGCATTTAGATGTCTTGGACTGGGGATGGTATACACACCCCTACAAAAAGTATTGACTCACTTGATGATCTGTCAAAATAATTGAATAAACAGGTAATACAAATACTCGTTTTTTTACTAAGCAAATCGATGTTGTGCATTAGTAAAAAAATATTTGTTGAAATGATTACCATAACACTCTAAAATATCACATTGGGACAATTGTTATTGATAATTTTATGATGTTTAAAAGTCAAATTAAAATTTTTCGAAAATTTTTTTGTCCTCAAGTGTATATATATACACGTTCATAATTATTTGATCGAATATTCATGGAGCATTAATACAAAACGTAAAAAAATTCGGAATGAATTTTTTATACAAGATGATTATCATTATGCGCAAACAAACTTTAAAGGGCAATTGCGGCTGAAATATCTAACCAAAACTAGATTTTTTTTAAAAAAAAAAAGATTGAACTTTCAATTTGTTATTTCAATTAAAACATCATGTCTCAATTAACAGACTTTGAATAATTGGATGTTGGGAAGCAGATGAAAGCATTTGCAACATTGCTGGTGCACTCAATCATTCTCAGTCACAAGTAACTCATGCAATAAAAGCATTTAAGATCAAACTACTATTGCTCCCCAAAAAAATACAAATGAATTAATTTCTTATTTAATGGATTAATGGGTAAATCTTGATTGTGATTATTTGCAAAAATTAGTAGACAGCATTCCTTGAAGGGTCCAAGCTGTAATTGAATCAAAAGGAAACCCAACAAAATATTGAATAAATGAATGAAATATTTATACTTTTTTGATACTTTTGATATAAATTTAATAAAGATTTATTATGTAAAAATATTATACAAACTGTTGATGAAAATTTTTTCATTATTTTTACATTTTGTATTAATGCTCCATGAATATTCAATCAATAATTATGAATGTGTATATATATATATTTGAGAACAAATGGAACAACATTTTCTAAGTTTCCAAGATGTGTTAAAACATTGTATCTTAAAATGGCTCTAAGTGCTACTTTTTCAAAAAATTTTCGAAAAATTTTAATTTGACTTTTAAACATCATAAAATTATCAATAACAATTGGTCTGATGTGATATTTTAGAGTGTTATGGTAATCATTTCAACAAATATTTTTTTACTAACACACAACATTGATTTGCTTAGTAAAAAAACGAGTATTTGTATTACCCGTTTATTCGATTATTTCGACAGATCATCAAGTGAGTTGATACTTTTTGTAGGGGTGTGTATGTCTATTAATTTATTCTCAACATCTCTCCTTTCTGGTAGTCCTTGATTTGGTATGTAGATGACATAGATGTTTTATTTGTAATGTTTGTTGAAATTTAATTCTACTCCTATTATATTACCTTTGTATTTGAATTTTTTGGAAATGTATGGTTGTAACCATCTATGTATCATGATTCCAACTCCTCCTTTGGGTTCATCATTGGAACTCCAATATGTAATGTATGTATCATCTTTAAAGAAAGTATGTTTTTCTTTATTTGTAGTAGTTTTGGTTTCTGTGATCCCAATTATATCAAATTGGTTTTCTTTAATATATTCCTTCCATATCATTTGTTTGGCTGGTGAGTTGATACCTCATATATTATGAAAAATGATGTTAAGATAGGGTTTTAAATTATGTTGTTTTGCCCCATTACTAACTGGATTTTTATTTTTATTCATAAGAAAGTTTATTGTTTTTGTGTTGTCTCTTGTTGATGATTATCGAACAGCATTGTTGATGATGAATGAATTTCTTTTAATATGTCATTCATAGTTTCTTGAAGTTTATTTTGTTTTATGTCATTGATTTCTTCTTCTTCACTATGAATTGTACTTTCATCACTGGAAATATCATGTACTCTTTTGAGAATTGTTTTTTGAGTTTCATTATTTTGGTTTCTGAATGGTGTGTTTGATTATATTACGTCCTGTATGTTGTATGTTATGCATTGTTTTAAGATTTTTTGTTTGGTTTTGGTTGGGCAGTGAAATGACTTTCTTTATGCCTATTTTTTCTTCAATTATATTTATCCTGTTGGTTAGAACATTTAGTGTTTCTTGGACACTTTTTAATTTTGACTCTATATTGCTAAATAATTGTTGCAGTTGTGTATTTTGTGTTCTTTCTTTATTACTAGAGGTATCAGGTGTATTGGAATGACTGCCAAATGTAATTTTTTTGATATTTTTAACTGTATCAGAATACAGTCTTGTTGATGTATTTGTATTTGTCTTCTTATATGATTTGTCCTTATTATTGTTTCCTATTTTAATGTTATATTTAGAATAAAGATTGTTGAATTTTTCCTTTTGTGTGATACATTCTTCATTGTGAATTTTCTCTTTGCACTCAACTATCATATGGTCTGGAGAACCACATTTATGGCATATTTTTTGGTTTTCCAATGCCCAAAAAACCTCATTACCTTTAATACCAAAGGAAGTTACACATGCTTCCTGCATTTTCTCTTCACTTTCAAAGGAGACGTAGGCATATCTGGCTCTTTCATAATGAGAGCATGTACGAGGAATGAAACAAGTTTTTGCATTAACAGCTAAAACTATATCTTGTAAATCAAAAGCTGTTGTTCCATAAGGGAGGTTTGTTAGTTAAGAATGTGACTATTTCTATCACCATGTTCTTTGTGAGTTAATGTAAGGGGATGAATTCTAAGACTGTCTTGCATATAAGCAATTGACCATGTGTTTTTTAGAGTTTGTATTGTATCTTTAGATTTGTAAGTTACTGTAGCTGTGTACCAAGGACCTGATAATTTATACTTGATGTTTGTAATTTCTCCATGTTGTTTTAGGTTGTTGAACAAAATCGTACGATTGACATTTAATGGAATATCTCTTATGATTAATATTTTATCTTGACTATCATCTACCACTTTATTCCAGGGTTGTAGAGTATGTTCATTATCTTGTTCAAATTGTACAGAACATGCTTTTTCTGCATCTTCTTGTGTTGCAAAGCTAATTGTTATATATTTTTTTTTTTCCTCAAAAGTGGATCTAATCCCAATTATAGGTATGGTACCTTCAAGTCCGTTTGAGATTACTTTGATTTTTTCTTCCCAATTGTGTCCTGGCACATCTGCTGCTAAGATTCTTGTTACATATCTTTTCTTTCTTTTTTATTTCCTTCCATTTCTCTTCCGACATTTGGGAATCTTGCTGTAGGTTAGCAGTATCATTGTTGCTGCTGCTGGGAGCACTTCCAATATCTTCTTCTTGCAAGGTAACTTCCATGTTAACATCAGCATTTGAAGATTCATCATTCAAAGCTTTTTTAACATGTATTTTTGTTGGTTTTGTCATTATAGGATCTTAAGTGTTTATTTGAAACAAAGACCCAGGTATTTGTATATTTTATTATATTAATCTATATATATTTTATTAATGTGTCTAATTCTTTTTATATTTTATATTTTTTCTATTTTCTATTCTAATTTTTATCAGCAATTAGTTCGAACCAAATTTCCACTATAACAATAATATGAAAATTGGTCAATTGTTCAAATTTTTTTTATATTAATTATTATTATTATTGCCCCGTTTATGGAATAATCGTCAATAATCACATGTCCAGACTTTCCTTTCTAAAAATCACGTGTTCGGGCAATTTTTATTGTATTTTTGATTGGGAAATTTTTTCTCAAATCTGTTGCTGAGGCATAGTAAGTTGCATTTTTTTTTTAAAGTTACATTTATTTGTTATAAATAGCATAAAATCAATAATTATTATCTGTCAATCATATCAATCATATCCAAATGCAATGCAATTCCTTAAATAGGAATAAACACACACTGGTCTTGGGGAAATTCTTGCTCCTAGTAAAAAAAAAATGAATGAAGGTATTTTTTCTTAGACATAAAATAACTATTTTAAAAATATGTAGTATTTTTACAACATAATTTAAAATTTTGCTTTATAATAAAATAATGCTTAGCTAAATTCTATAAAGGTAAGTAAATATTATGCAACACAAATAAACATCATCTAATTAAAAAATGATTTTTTTTATTTCATAGGGAGTAAGTACTATATTATAATTTAACTTTTACAATACAAAATAAACATCATCTAATTAAATAATTTGTTTTTTTATTTCTTTATAATAACCAGTTGGTAAGTATTATATTATAATTTAACTTTTACAACACAAAATAAACATCATCTAATTAAATAATTTGTTTTTTTATTTCTTTATAATAACCAGTGTGTAAGTATTATATTATAATTTAACTTTTATAACACAAAGTAAACATCATCTAATTAATTAATTTGTTTTTTTATTTCATAGATTGTAAGTATTATATTATAATTTAACTTTTACAACACAAAATAAACATCATCTAATAAGTAAATTTATTTTTTAACCAGATTGTAAGTATTATATTATAAATTAATTAGGGAATTGTTACTTGCACCCCTCCCGTGACTAAGACCAATAAAATCATCACATTTTAAAGCCATTCATTGGTCGTTTACTACACTTAGTCATGGGAGGGGTGTGAATAACAAAAGTGGGAGGTGCGAATAACAATTCTCATTAATTATAACAACTAAATAAAATTAATTTTTATTTCTTTATAATAACCAGCTGGTAAGTATTTTATTGTATTATAAATCAATTTTTATAATTTTTATATCTAATTAGTTTATTTTTATTTATTTATAATAACCAGCCGGTAAGTAGTATATTATAAATTAACACAAAAATAAATTTTATTCAAACATCATCTAATAAATCTTTTTATAATAACCAGGGAGTAAGTATCATATTATAAAATTAACTTTTACAACACAAAATAATTTTTATTATAATATCAATTAATAAATAAATTTATTTTTCTTTATAATAACCAGCATGTAGGTAATTTTTACAACATAAAATAAATTTTTATAACATCATCTAATTAAATATTCTTTATTTCTTCATAATAACCAGCTGGTAAATATTATATCATATTATAAAATAACTTTTACAACACATTGTCTAATTAAATAAATTATTTTTTGCATTTATAATAACAATTGAAGGTAAAATAATTTATAAATTTATCTTTTTTATAACCTTTAAATGAATGTCTATTTTTATTATGTTGAAAAATAATTCTATTCTATTTTTAATTTTATAATGAATAATAAGATAACACTAAGGGGTTTAAAGAAAGAAAAGAAGAATATGGAACCTGTATTGTTTGTGCAAGATATAATACTAATTACCAGTGGTGTCAATCATGTGATCCCAAATTGTTAGCTCAAAGTTGGACTA